TTTTGTCATCGCCTCGGTTGCGTGCCTGTTGTGCACGCATTTCGAGGCACCTCATTTTTATCTGCCGGCATCCTATGTGAGTGTGGCTGAGGCTCACTCATGTTGGTTATAGCCCTATGATCATGTTTCATGTCATTTCCATATCGCATTTTTTCATTCCGCCTCGGTTTGCGTGCCCGTGTGCAACGCATTTTTTCGAGGCACCTCATTTTTTCATCCCGCCGGCATCCTATGTGAGTGTGGCTGAGGCTTTCACTCCATGTTGGTTATAGAGCCCCCATATCCATGTTTCCATGCCATTTTGCTATTCGCATTTCTGCCAATTGCCCCTCGGTTTTTTTGCGTGCCCGTGTGCATGCCCATTTCGAGCAACTTTTATTTTATCCGCCGGCATTCCTATGTGCAGTTTGTGGCTTGAGGCTCACTCCATGTTGGTTAAGCCCATATCATGTTTTCAATGTCATTACATTCGCATTTTGTCAATTGCTCGGTTTTGGCGTGCCGTGTGCACGCATTTTTCGAGGCTCTTTCCATTTTATCCGCCGGCAATTCCTATGTGAGTGTGGCTGAGGCTTCACATCATGTTGGTTATAAAGCCCCATAATCAGTGTTTTCATGCCATTTTAGCATTCGCATTCTGCCATTGGCCCTGTCCGGTTTTGCGTGCCCGTGTGCCACGCATTTTCGAGACACTTCCCTTTTTTAATTCCCGTCGGTCAATCCTAATGCTGAGTTGTGGCTGAGGCTTCAACTCATGTTTGGTTATAACCCATAAATCATGTTTTTCATGTCCATTACATCCCATTCTGCCATTTGCCCTCGGTTTGCGTCCCGTGTGCACGCATTTCCGAGGCATTTATCACCAGATTTATTGATAATCCCGCCGGCATCCTATGTGAGTTGTGGGCCCTGAGGCCTCACTCAATGTTGGGTATAAGTCCATATCATGTTTTCATGTCATTTGCCATTGCGTATGCCATTCGCACTCGGTTTTGCGTCGGCCCGTGGCACGCATTTTCGAGGCACTTTCATTTTTTCTCAATCGGCCCCTCTTTATGTGAGTGTGCGGCTGAGGCTCTCTCATGTTAGGTATATAGTTCCATGTTAACCTTTCCCCATGCCATTTTTTAGTCACTTGCATTGCATTCCTGTCATTGTCTCGGTTTGCGTGCCCGTAATGCGCGCATTCGAGGCATCTCTTTTTTTTACAGCATAGTGGCATACTAAGGTTTGTTATCTTAGAATTGCATTCTTGTCATTTTTTCCTCGGTTTTGGCGTGCCCGTTGCACGCATCTTTCGAGGCATGTCATTCCCCATAGCATTGTATATGTTAGAATTGTTATCTTAAGTTTGCATTTCTGCATATCATGCACTCATTGCAATTCGTGTCCGGAATAGGAGTAGCCCGGGCACGGGAAAACCGAGGTACATTTTCGTAACTCCGAGTGACGGAATGTGTCTCCAATTCCCCAGTCAACCCGACACTATGTTTCGGGTTCCTGGATTATCCATGATGGAGTTAGGGTTTTTAGCTGTAGTTTTCATGTGCATTCATTCCTCTTGTATATTTGAAGTTTGTGCAGTTCGACTCTCGGCCACATGCCTCCGGTTATGCGCGATTGGTGGCATGGCGACCAGATCGAGACATGCAATATATCTGTGAAAATACATTGCTTATGTCCCCTTTCCTGCTCTCTGTTGCAGCAAAATGAAGAATCCAGCAATTTTTCGGGACCTTGGACACGCATTTCAACGAACAGGTGTAAAACAGACGGGCTTAATTGGGGCCATTGCACCCAACGGTGGATTTCCCCGCGCAACGACAACCCGGACATTGCATCATCCATCAGAAGCAAGGCCAGTCCTTTGGCTTGCACGCCAAGTTTTTTTTATTTCTATTCTTAGTTAATTTTTTTTTTTTTTTTGTTAATTAATTAGGTTTGGTAATATTTTGGACTGTAATATTCTTTCATTCAGGCTGTAATTATCTGGACTGTATTATTTTATTCGGACTCCTCTGCGCGAGGGCACAACTGTAATAAGTGTGCGTGTGTGTGTTGTATGTCTTCCAACCCCAACGTCCTTTTTTCTCCTTTATTTATCCGCTTATGATGGTTTAGATTAGGCGCATATTTTCAATTAGCCATACAGTATGGGACGGCATGTTTTGCATTGCATTCATTCAGTTTGAATGCACCTGGGTCGGCATTCATATAACTGCATTGTAGTCTTCAATTCCAAAGGTTGAATACATGTTTTAGCTTGTAATGCATTCCATATGCCATGTTTAGGAATAGCCGAGCCTGCTATAGTTGCCACTTTTGCATGTGTTTGCATTAGGCATTTATCTATATACTTAGGATCATGCATGATTTTCTAAATGTATGTGTTCTTTTTGGCTGTGAGCTACTCGGTAGCTTTATGCTTTAGCATCCTTTGCATGCGTTTGTGAGTGACATCCCATGATAGCATGCTTGCCATGCAGGCTAATTGCTTATGTGATATAACTGCCTGAATTGCCTTGTGGGTTGAAGGTTGGGGTTAATTCTGAATTGGAATAAATCCTTCAAAATATTTCAAGCCTACCTGGGTTAAGCAAACCATTTCAAAACAAACATGAAATGTTTTGTTCCAATCAAGGCGACCGTTCTATACTTGTAATGCTGTGAGTCATCACCATAGTAACTGAGGCTAATAACCGGAATTAAAGAATATACAATGTTTTTCAAAATAGATAATCATGGTTTTAGTAGAGGCCCGGTCTATGACTCGGCGAGCGGGGGTGCTCAACTGAAGTGACCTTCCCCAACGTACCAAGTTCCCGAGCGAGGCAAACTTTGGTGATGACGGACACGTGGCCTTGGCACGAGTCAGGGTTTCCTAAATTTCTTCCAAAATAAAATATTTAGGTGGTGACTTCTGATATCTGCAAAGCCAGTCCATGTTTGCCACTACTTTTTCAAAAATCTTTTCTCAAAACGCATTTGCCGGATTTTGGACTCTTTGGTTCAGATTAAGAACCGTGACTACGAAAGTCGAGTCCGAGCTGCGGCGAGGCCCCCTGCGGGCTTGTCTACAACGACACAGTATTGAATCACAGCAGGTGCTATTGTGAGGAACTCACAGCAGCATCCCCGAATCCATTTCGTTATCATGTAACATATGTTATCGATAGATATAGATATCAAGAGTGGGTTATCCAGATAGGTCTTGAATTCAAATTCAAAACTTACATGGATAAGGTTGAAAAGGGTCAAAGGTCATGCCACATGGGTGCCCAATTTCTAATAAAGATGAATAATACTTCACAGTACAATTCATAATTTTACAGTTGTGGTTCTAATTTGAACCTAAATTGAACCATTAAAATGTATAAATAAAACGATATTCATAAGTGTTCTCTTTTAAATTAAAAAATTCATAATAAATTATATTAATCTATATAAAAATTGTATAATAATTCTTATTTGAATATTACTCATGCGCATGTATATATATGGAGCATTGAAATTAAAAGGAGAAAAAGAAATAAACTATGTTTTTGAGAGAAAAAGTAATTAAAAATTAAAATAGCAAACTGAGAATTCAAATTGATCCAAAAAAACGACACAGCATTGAATTACAGCAGGTGCTACTGTGAGGAACTCACAGCAGCATCCCCGGACCCATTTCGTTATCATGTAACATATGCTATCGATAGATATAGATACCAAGAGTGGGTTATCCAAATAGGTTTTGAATTCAAATTCAAAACTTACAGGGATAAGGTTCAAAAGGGTCTAAGGTGATGCCACATGGGTGCCCAATTTCTAACAAAGATAAATAATACTTCACAGTACGATTCATAATTTTATAGTTGTCGTTCTAGTTTGAACTTGAATTGAACCATTAAAATATATAAATAAAACGATATTCGTAAGTGTTCTCTTTTAAATAAAAAATTCATAATAAATTATATCAATCTATATAAAAATTTTATAATAATTTTTATTTGAATATTAATCATGTGCGTGTATATATATATCGAGCATGGGAATTAAAAGGAGAAAAAGAAATAAACTATGATTTTGAGAGAAAAAAGCAATTAAAAATTGAAACAGCAAATTGAGAATTCAAATTGATCCAACGAAACGACACAGTATTGAATCATAGCAGGTGCTACTATGAGGAACTCACGGCAGCATCCCCGAACCCATTTCGTTATCACGTAACATATGCCATCGATAGATATAGATATCAAGAGTGGGTTATCCAAATAGGTTTTGAATTCAAATTCAAAACTTACATGAATAAGGTTCAAAAGGGTCAAAGGTCATCCCATATGGGTGCCCAATTTCTAACAAAGATAAATAATACTTCACAGTACGATTCATAATTTTATAGTTGTGGTTCTAATTTGAATCCGAATTGGACCATTAAAATATATAAATAAAACGATATTCATAAGTGTTCTCTTTTCAAATAAAAAATTCATAACAAATTATATCAATCTATATAAAAATTTTACCATGATTTTTATTTGAATATTACTCATGTGCGTGTATACATATGGAGCATGGGAATTAAAGGGAGAAAAAGAAATAAACTATGATTTTGAGAGAAAAAAACAATTAAAAATTGAAACAGCAAAGCGAGAATTCAAATTAATCCAACAAAACGACACAGTATTGAATCACAACAGGTGCTACTGTGAGGAACTCACCGCCGCATCCCCGAACCCATTTCGTTATAATGTAGCATATGTTATCGATAGATATAGATATCAAGAGTGCGTTATCCAAATAGGTTTTGAATTAAATTCAAAACTTACATGGATAAGGTTCAAAAGGGTCAAAGGTGATGCCACATGGTTGCCCAATTGCTAACAAAGATAAATAATACTTCACAGTACGATTCATAATTTTATAGTGGTGGTTCTAATTTGAAGCTGAATTGGACCATTAAAATATATAAATAAAACGATATTCATAAGTGCTCTCTCTACTGCAGCATGTTTTACCCTGAGCCTGGCCTCCATAGATGTCTCCTCCTCCGTAGATGTCTTCCGTTTCAATGGATCTTTTTTTTTCCTGTAGAAATTCAACGAGACAAAGATTAGAGAGAGAAGTAGAAGAAAAAGGGAGGAGAGAGAAATATAGAGAAAATTACTGAATTTACTTTTTCAACTGAAGATGTTGCTCTTCCTCCAACAGCCTCATGGCTTCAGTTGTGAACGTCAAAAACGGAGACATTGGTTGCTGTTCTTTTTCTTTTTTGCTCTTTCTCCACTGATCTTTGAGCCATATGATTTGGGGCAAACCTTTCTTCTTCTTGTCTTTCTTTTCTAGCTCTTTCTCTCTGTTATGTTTTCAAGAAAATGTAGGAAAATTTAGGGGGAAAACTAAACCTAGAATCATCAACTCTAAACCATTAATCTGGGTTCAGTTTCAAAGAAAACGTAGGAAAATTACCCTTTCTAAAGCTCCTTCATTTTCCCTACCTTTCCCAACAAATATAAATAAGCCCAATTTGTAACAAAGATAAATAATACTTCACAGTACGATTCATAATTTTATAGTTGTGGTTCAAATTTGAACCTAAATTGGACCCTTAAAATTTATAAATAAAACGATATTCATAAGTGTTCTCTTTTAAAATAAAAAATTCATAATAAATTATATCAATCTATATGAAAATTTTATAATAATTTTTATTTGAATATTACTCATGTGCATGTATATATATGGAGCATGGGAATTAAAAGGACAAAAAGAAACAAACTATGATTTTGAGAGAAAAAAGCAATAAAAAATTGAAACAGCAAAGTGAGAATTCAAATTGATCCAACAAAACGACACAGTATTGAATCACAGCAGGTGCTTATGTGGGAAACTCACAGCAGCATCCCAGAACCGATTTCGTTATAATGTAGCATATGCTATCGATAGTTATAGAAATCAAGAGTGGGTTATCCAAATAGGTTTTGAATTCAAATTCAAAACTTACATGGATAAGGTTCAAAAGGGTCAAAGGTCATGCCACATGGGTGCCCAATTTCTAACAAAGATAAATAATACTTCACAGTACGATTCAAAATTTTATAGTTGTGGTTCTGATTTGAACATGAATTGGACCATTAAAATATATAAATAAAACGATATTCGTAAGTGCTCTCTCTACTGCAGCATGCTTTACCCTGAGCCTGGCCTCCATAGATGTCTTCTCCTCCATAGATGTCTTCGGTTTCAATGGATCCTTTTTTTCCGGTAGAAATTCAATGAGACAGAGATTAGAGGGAGAGAAGAAGAAGCAGAAGAAGAAGCGGGGAGACAGAAATATAAAGAAAATTACTGAATTTACTTTTTTAACTGAAGATGCTGCTCTTCTTCCAACTGCCTCATGCCTTCAGTTGTGAACGCTAAAAACGAAGACATTGGTTGCTGATCCTTTTCTTTCTTGCTTTTTCTCCACTGATTTTTGAGCCATAAGATTTGGGGGAAGCCTTTCTTCTTCTTGTCTTTCTTTTCTAGCTCTTTCTCTCTGTTCTGTTTTCAAGAAAATGTAGGAAAATTTAGGAGGAAAACTAAACCAAGAATCAACAACTCTAAACCATCAATCTGGGTTCAGTTTCAGAGAAAAATGTAGGAAAATTACCCTTTCTAAAGCTCCTTCATTTTCCCTACATTTTCTCAGCAAAGATAAATAAGTCCAATTTCTAACAAAGATAAATAATACTTCACAGTACGATTCATAATTTTATAGTTATGGTTCAAATTTGAACCAGAATTGGCCCCGTAAAATTTATAAGTAAAACGATATTCATAAGTGTTCTCTTTTAAAATAAAAAATTCATAATAAATTTTATCAATCTATAAAAAAATTTTATAATAATTTTTATTTGAATATTAATCATGTGCATGTATATATATGGAGCATGGGAATTAAAAGGAGAAAAAGAAATAAACTTTGATTTTGAGAGAAAAAAGCAATAAAAAATTGAAACAGCCAAGTGAGAATTCAAATTGATCCAACAAAATAACACAGTATTGAATCACAGCAGGTCCTACTGTGAGAAACTCACTGCAGCATCCCCGAACCCATTTCGTTATAATGTAACATATGCTATCGATAGTTATAGATATCAAGAGTGGGTTATCCAAATAGGTTTTGAATTCAAATGAACTTACATGGATAAGGTTCAAAAGAGTCAAAGGTCATGCCACATGGGTGCCCAATTTCTAACAAATATAAATTATACTTCAGAGTACGATTCATAATTCGACATAAAATGTGGGTTCCTACACTATCGATAGTTATAGATATCAAGAGTGGGTTATCCAAATAGGTTTTGAATTCAAATGAACTTACATGGATAAGGTTCAAAAGAGTCAAAGGCCATGCCACATGGGTGCCCAATTTCTAACAAATATAAATTATACTTCAGAGTACGATTCATAATTCTATAGTTGTGGTTCTAATTTGAACCTAAATTGGACCATTAAAATATATAAATAAAACGATATTCATAAGTGTTCTCTTTTAAAATAAAAAATTCATAATAAATTAAATCAATCTATAGAAAAAAAAATTAATAATTTTTATGTGAATATTACTCATGTGCGTGTCTAGATATGGAGCACGGGAATTTAAAGGAGAAAAAGAAATAAACTATGATTTTGAGAGAAAAATGCGATAAAAAATTGAAACAGCAAAGTGAGAATTCAAATTGATCCAACAAAATGACACAGTATTCAATCACAGCAGGTACTACTGTGAGGAACTCACAGCAGCATCCCCGAACCCATTTCGTTATAATTTAACATATGCTATCGGTAGATATAGATATCAAGAGTGGGCTATCCTAATAGGTTTTGAATTCAAATTCAAAACTTACATGGATATGGTTCAAAAGGGTCAAAGGTCATGCCACATTGGTGCCCAATTTCTAACAAAGATAAATAATACTTCACAGTACAATTCATAATTTTATAGTTGTGGTTCTAATTTGAACCTGAATTTGACCATTAAAATATATAAATAAAACGATATTCGTAAGTGCTCTCTCTACTGAAGCATGCTTTACCCTGAGCCTGGCCTCCATAGATGTCTTCTTCTCCATAGATGTCTTCGGTTTCAATGGATCTTTTTTTTCCTCTAGAAATTCAATGAGACAAAGATTAGAAAGAGAGAAGAAGAAGAAGGGGGGGGAGAGAGAGAGAAATATAGAGAAAATTACTGAATTTACTTTGTCAACTGAAGATGCTGCTCTTCCTCTAACAGCCTCATGGATTCTTTTGTAAACGCCAAAGACGGAGACATTGGTTCCTGATCATTTTCTTTGTTACTCTTTCTCCGCTGATCTTTGAGCCATATGATTTGGGGGAAGCCTTTCTTTGTCTTGTCTTTCTTTTCTAGCTCTTTCTCTCTATTCTGTTTTCAAGAAAATGTAGCAAAATTTTGGGGGAAAACTAAACCAAGAATCATCAACTCTAAACCATCAGTTTGGGTTCAGTTTCAGAGAAAATGTAGGAAAATTACCCTTTCTAAAGCTCAACTTACATGGATAAGGTTTAAAAGGGTCAAAGGCCATGCCACATAGGTGCCCAATTTCTAATAAAGATAAATAATACTTCACAATACGATTCATAATTTTGTAGTTGTGGTTCAAATTTGAACCTGAATTAGACCCTTAAAATTTATAAATAAAACTATATCCATAAGTGTTCTCTTTTGCAAATAAAAAAAATTCATAACAAATTATATCAATCTATATAAAAAATTTATAATAATTTTTATTTGAATATTACTCATGTGCGTGTATACATATGGAGCATGGGAATTAAAAGGAGAAAAAGAAATAAACTATGATTTTAAGAGAAAAAAGCAATTAAAAATTGAAACAGCAAAGTGAGAATTCAAATTGATCCAACAAAACGACACAGTATTGAATCACAGCAGGTGCTACTGTGAGGAACTCACCGCAGCATCCCCGAACCCATTTCGTTATAATGTAGCATATGCTATCAATAGACATAGATATCAAGAGTGTGTTATCCAAATAGGTTTTGAATTCAAATTCAAAACTTACATGGATAAGGTTCAAAAGGGTCAAACGTGATGCCACATGGGTGCCCAATTTCTAACAAAGATAAATAATACTTCACAGTACGATTCATAATTTTAGAGTTGTGGTTCTAATTTGAACCTGAATTGGACCATTAAAATACATAAATAAAACGATATTCATAAGTGCTCTCTCTACTGCAACATGTTTTACCCTGATCCTGGCCTCCATAGATGTCTCCTCCACCATAGATGTCTTCAGTTTCAATGGATCTTTTTTTTTCCTGTAGAAATTCAATGAGACAAAGATTAGAGAGAGAAGAAGAAGAAGAAGAAGAAGAAGAAGAAGAAGAAGAAGAAGGGAGGAGAGAGAAATATAGAGAAAATTACTGAATTTACTTTTTCAACTAAAGATGCTGCTCTTCCTCCAACAGCCTCATGGCTTCAGTTGTGAACGCCAAAAATGGTGACATTGCTTGCTGATCTTTTTCTTTTTTGCTCTTTCTCCACTGATCTTTGAGCCATATGATTTGGGGGAAACCTTTCTTCTTCTTGTCTTTCTTTTCTAGCTCTTTCTCTCTGTTATGTTTTCATGAAAATGTAGGAAAATTTAGGGGGAAAACTAAACCAAGAATCACCAACTCTAAACCATCAATCTGGATTCAGTTTCAGAGAAAACGTAGGAAAATTACCATTTCTAAAGCTCCTTCATTTTCCCAACATTTTCTCAGCAAATATAAATAAGCCCAATTTCTAATAAAGATAAATAATACTTCACAGTACGATTCATAATTTTATAGTTGTGGTTCAAATTTGAAGCTGAATTGGACCCTTAAAATTTATAAATAAAACGATATTCATAAGTGTTCTCTTTTCAAATAAAAAAATTCATAACAAATTATATCAATCTATATAAAAAATTTATAATAATTTTTATTTGAATATTACTCATGTGCATGTATATATATGGAGCATGGGAATTAAAAGGAGAAAAAGAAATAAACTATGATTTTGAGAGAAAAATGCAATAAAAAAATGAAACAGCAAAGTGAGAATTCAAATTGATCCAACAAAATGACACAGTATTGAATCACAGCAGGTGCTACTGTGAGGAACTCACTGCAGCATCCCCGAACCCATTTCGTTATAATTTAGCATATGCTATCGGTAGATATAGATATCAAGATTGGGTTATCCAAATAGGTTTTGAATTCAAATTCAAAACTTACATGGATAAGGTTCAAATGGGTCAAAGGTCATGCCACATGGGTGCCCAATTTCTAACAAAGATAAATAATCCTTCACAGTACAATTCATAATTTTATAGTTGTGGTTCTAATTTGAACCTGAATTTGACCATTAAAATATATAAATAAAACGATATTCGTAAGTGCTCTCTCTACTGAAGCAAGCTTTACCCTGAGCCTGGCCTCCATAGATGTCTTCTTCTCCATAGATGTCTTCGATTTCAATGGATCTTTTTTTTCCTCTAAAAATTCAATGAGACAAAGATTAGAAAGAGAGAAGAAGAAGAAGGGGGGAGAGAGAAATATAGAGAAAATTACTGAATTTACTTCGTCAACTGAAGATGCTGCTCTTCCTCCAACAGCCTCATGGATTCAGTTGTAAATGCCAAATACGGAGACATTGGTTCCTGATCCTTTTCTTTCTTGCCCTTTCTTCGCTGATCTTTGAGCCATATGATTTGGGGGAAGCCTTTCTTTGTCTTGTCTTTCTTTTCTAGCTCTTTCTCTCTATTCTGTTTTCAAGAAAATGTGGCAAAATTTTGGGGGAAAACTAAACCAAGAATCATCAACTCTAAACCATCAGTTTGGGTTCAGTTTCAGAGAAAATGTAGGAAAATTACCCTTTCTAAAGCTCCTTCATTTTCCTTACATTTTCTCAGCAAAGATAAATAAGCCCAATTTCTAATAAAAATTAATAATACTTCACAGTACGATTCATAATTTTATAGTTGTGGTTCAAATTTGAACCTGAATTAGACCCTTAAAATTTATAAATAAAACTATATCCATAAGTGTTCTCTTTTGCAAATAAAAAAAATTCATAACAAATTATATCAATCTATATAAAAAATTTATAATAATTTTTATTTGAATATTACTCATGTGCGTGTATACATATGGAGCATGGGAATTAAAAGGAGAAAAAGAAATAAACTATGATTTTAAGAGAAAAATGCAATTAAAAATTGAAACAGCAAAGTGAGAATTCAAATTGATCCAACAAAACGACACAGTATTGAATCACAGCAGGTGCTACTGTGAGGAACTCACCGCAGCATCCCCGAACCCATTTCGTTATAATGTAGCATATGCAATCGATAGACATAGATATCAAGAGTGTGTTATCCAAGTAGGTTTTGAATTCAAATTCAAAACTTACATGGATAAGGTTCAAAAGGGTCAAAGGTGATGCCACATGGGTGCCCAATTTCTAACAAAGATAAATAATACTTCACAGTACGATTCATAATTTTAGAGTTGTGGTTCTAATTTGAACCTGAATTGGACCATTAAAATACGTAAATAAAATGATATTCATAAGTGCTCTCTCTACTGCGGCATGTTTTACCCTGAGCCTGGCCTCCTTAGATGTCTCCTCCTCCATAGATGTCTTCGGTTTCAATGGATCTTCTTTTTTCCTGTAGAAATTCAATGAGACAAAGATTAGAGAGAGAAGAAGAAGAAGAAGAAGGGAGGAGAGAGAAATATAGAGAAAATTACTGAATTTACTTTGTCAACTGAAGATGCGGCTCTTCCTCCAACAGCCTCATGGCTTCAGTTGTGAATGCCAAAAACGGTGACATTGCTTGCTGATCTTTTTCTTTTTTGCTCTTTCTCCACTGATCTTTGAGCCATATGATTTGGGGGAAACCTTTCTTCTTCTTGTCTTTCTTTTCTAGCTCTTTCTCTCTGTTATGTTTTCAAGAAAATGTAGGAAAATTTAGGGGGAAAACTAAACCAAGAATCATCAACTCTAAACCATCAATCAGGGTTAAGCTTCTGAGAAAATGAAGGAAAATTACCCTTTCTAAAGCTCCTTCATTTACCCTACATTTTCTCAACAAATATAAATCAGCCCAATTTCTAACAAAGATAAATAATACTTCACAGTACGATTCATAATTTTATAGTTGTGGTTCTAATTTGAATCCGAATTGGAACATTAAAATATATAAATAAAACGATGATATTCAAAGTGTTCTCTTTTAAATAAAAAATTCATAATAAATTATATAAATCTATATAAAAATTTTATAATAATTTTATTTGATATTACTCATGTGCATGTATATATTTGGAGCATGAGAATTAAAAGGAGTAAAAGAAATAACTATGATTTTGAGAGAAAAAAGCAATAAAAAAAATTGAAACAGCAAGTGAGAATTCAAATTGATCCAACAAAACGACACAGTATTTGAATCACAGCAGGTGCTTCTGTGAGGAACTCACAGCAGCATCCCAGAACCCATTTCGTTATAATGTAGCATATGCTATGATAAATATAGATATCAAGAGTGGGTTATCCAAATAGGTTTCGAATTCAAATTCAAACTTACATGGATAAGGTTCAAAAGGGTCAAAGGTCATGCACATGGATGCCAATTTCTAACAAAGATAAATAATAATACTTCACAGTACGATTCAAAATTTTATAGTTCTGTTCTAATTTGAACATGAATTGGACCATTAAATTTATATAAATAAAACATATTCGTAAGTGCTCTCTCTACTGCAGCATGCTTTACCCTAAGCCTGGCCTCCATAGATGTCTTATCCTCCATAGATGTCTTCGGTTTTCAATGGATCCTTTTTTTTCCTGTAGAAATTCAATGAGACAAAGATTAGAGGGAGAGAAAAGAAGAAGTAGAAGAAGGGGGGAGACAGAAGTATAAAAGAAAATTACTGAATTTACTTTTTTAACGAAGATGCTGCTCTTCCTCCAACAGCCTCAATGGCTTTCAGTTGTGAAGGCTAAAAACGGAGACATTGGTTGCTGATCCTTTTCTTTCTTGCTCTTTCTCCACTGTCTTGAGCCATAGATTTGGGGAAGACTTTCTTCTTCTGTCTTTCTTTTCTAGCACTTTCTCTCTGTTCTGTTTTCAAAGAAATGTAGGAAAATTTAGGGGGAAAACTAAACAGAATCAACAATCTTAAACCATCAATCTGGGTTCAGTTTCAGAGAAAAATGTAGGAAAATTACCCTTTCTAAAGCTCCTTCATTTTCCCTACATTTTCTAGCAAAGATAAAATAGTCCAATTTTCAACAAGATAAATAATACTTCACAGTACGATTCATAATTTTAATAGTTGTGGTTCAAATTGGAACTTGAATTGGCCCTTAAAATTTATAAGTAAAACGATATTCATAAGTGTTCTCCTTTAAAATTAAATTCATAATAAATTATATCAATCTATATAAAAATTTTATAATAATTTTTATTTGAATATAACTCATGTGCATGTATATATATGGAGCATGGGAATTAAAGGAGAAAAAGAAATAAACTATGATTTTGAGGAAAAAAGCAATAAAAAATTGAAAAGCAGCAAGTGAGAATTAAAATTGATCCTACCAAAATGACACAGTATTGAATCACAGCAGGTGGCTACTGTGAGAAACTCAGAGCAGCATCCCCGAACCCATTTCGTATCAATGTAATATATGCTATCGATAGTTATAGATATCAGAGTGGATTATCCGAATAGGTTTTGAATTCAATTAACTTACATGGATAAGGTTCAAAGAGTCAAAGGTCATGCCACATAGGTGCCCAAATTTCTAACAAAGATAAATTATACTTTCACAGTACGATTCCTAATTTTATAGTTGTGGTTCTAATTTGAACCTAAATTGGACCATTAAAATATATTAAATAAAACGATATGCATAAGTGTTCTCTTTTTAAAATAAAAAATTCATGACAAATTAAATCAATACTATAGAAAAAAAAATTTAATAATTTTTATTTGAATATTACTCATGTGCGTGTATATATATGGAGCATGGGAATTTAAAGGAGAAAAAGAAATAAACTATGATTTTGAGAGAAAAATGCAATAAAAAATTGAAACAGCAAAGTGAGAATTCAAATTGATCAACAAATGACACAGTATTCAATCACAGCAAGTGCTACTATGAGGAACTCACAGCAGCGCACCCCAAACCCATTTCGTTATATCGTAGCATATGCTATTGCGTAGATATAGATATCAAGAGTGGGTTATCCAAATAGGTTTTGAATTCAAATTCAAAACTTACATGGATAAGGTCAAAAGGGTCAAAGGTCATGCCACATGGGTGCCGAATTTCTAACAAAGATAAATAATACTTCACAGTACGATTCATAATTTTTGTTGTGGTTATATTTGAACCTGAATTGGACCATTAAAATATATAAATAAAACGATATTCGTAATTGCCACTCTACTGAAGCATGCTTTACCTTGAGCCTGGCCTCCATAGATGTCTTCACCTCCATAGATGTTCTTCGGTTTCAATGGATCTTTTTTTTCCGGTAGAAATTCAATGAGACAAAGATTAGAAAGAGAGAAGAAGAAGAAGGGGAGAGAGGAAATAAAGAGAAAATTACTAAATTTACTTTGTCAACTGAAGATCCTGCTCTTCTCTAACAGCTTCATGGCTTCAGTTGCAACACCAAAAACGGAGACATTGGTTGCTGATCCTTTTCTTTCTTGCTCTTTCTCCACTGATCTTTGAGCCATATGATTTGGGGGAAGCCTTTCTTGTCTTGCTTTCTTTTCTAGCTCTTTCTCTCTATTCTGTTTTCAAGAAAATGTAGGAAAATTTAAGGGGAAAAACTAAACCAAGAATCATCAACACTAAACCATCAATCTGGGTCAGTTTCAGAGAAAATGTTGGAAAATTACCCTTTCTAAGCTCCTTCATTTTCCAACATTTTCTCAGCAAGAAAAATAAGCCCAATTTCTAACAAAGATAAAATAATAGTTCAAAGTACGATTCATAACTTTATAGTTGTGGTTCAAATTTGAACTTGAATTGGCCCTTTAAAATTATAAATAAAACGATATTCATAAGTGTTTCTCTTTAAAATAAAAAATTCATAATAAATTGTATCCATCTATATAAAAATTTTGACAACAATTTTATTTGAATATTACTCATGTGCATGTATATATATGGAGCATGGGAATTAAAAGGAAAAAAAAAAGAAAAACTATGATTTAGAGAGAAAAAAGCCATAAAAAATTGAAACAGCAAAGTGAGAATTAAATTGATCCAACAAAACGACGCAGTATTGAATCACAGCAATTGCTATTGTGAGGACACAGCATCCCCGAACCCATTTCGTTATCATGTAACATATGCTATCGATAGATATAGATATCAAGAGTGGGTTATCCAAATAGGTTTTGAATTCAATTAAAACTTACATTGATAAGTTTCAAAAAGGTCCAAGGTCATGCCACAAGGGGTGAAATTTCTAACAAGATAAATTATACTTCACAGTACGATTCATAATTTTATAGTTGTGTTCTAATTTGAACCTGAATTGGCCATCAAAATTATCAATAAAACGATATTCATAAGTGTTCTCTTTTAAAAAAAAAAATTCATAATAAATTAAATCCATCTATATAAAAATTTGATAACAATTTTTATTTGAAATATTACTCATGTGCATGTTATATATGTGGAGCATGGGAATTAAAAAGGAGAAAAAGAAATAAATTATGATTTTGAGAAAAAAAGCAATTAAAGATTGAAACAGCAAAGGAGAATTCAAATTGATCCATCAAAATGACACAGTATTGAATCACAGCAGGTGCTACTGTGAGGAACTCATTGCAGCATCCCGAACCCATTTCGTTATAATGTAGCATATGCTATCGATAGATATAGATATCAGGAGTGGGTTATCCAAATAGGTTTTGAATTCAAATTCAATACTTACATGGATAAGTTTCAAAAGGGTCAGAGGTCATGCCACATGGGTCCGCAATTTCTAACAAGGATAAATAATACTTCACAGTACGATTCATTTTATAGTTGTGGTGCAACCTGAATGAGAATTAAATATTAATATAAAAGATATTCATAAGTGCTCTCCCACATGCAGCATGCTTTACCTGAGCCTGGCCTCCATAGATGTCTTCGGTTTCAACGGATCCTTTGTTTTCCTGTAGAAATTCAATGATAAAAATATCAGAGAGAGAGAAGAAGAAGAAGGTGGAGAGAGAAATATAGAGAAAATTACTAATTTACTTTTCTACTGAAGATGCTGCTCTTTCTCCAACAGCTCATGGCTTCAGTTGTGACGCCAGAAACGGAAACAATGGCTGCTGATCCTTTTCTTTCTTGCTCTTTCTCCACTGATCTTTGAGCCAGATGATTTGGGGAAGCCTTTCTTCTTCTGTCTTTCTTTCTACACTTCTCTCTCGTTCTGTTTTCAAGAAAATGTAGGAAAATTTTGGAGGAAACTAAACCAAGAATCATCAACTCAAAACATCAATCTGGGTTCAGTTTCTGAGAAAATATAGGAAAATTACCCTTTGTAAAGTCTTTCATTTTCCCTACATTTCTCAGCAAAGATAAATAATGCCCAATTTCTAACAAAGATAAATAATACTTCACAGTACGATTCATAATTTTATAGTTGTGGTTCTAATTTGAACATGAATTGGACCCTTAAAATTTATAAATAAAAGGATATTCATAAGTGTTCTCTTTTTAAAATAAAAATTCATAATAATTATATCAATCTATATAAAAATTTATAATAATTTTTATTTGAATATACTCATGTGCATGAATATATATGGAGCATGGGAATTAAAAGGAGAAAAATACCATACCAACTGTCCGCTTGTTGAGAAATAGTGCATAATAATTGAATACACGCAAGTCGAGTAGACAGAGTATATTGATCCAGGCAAAAATAAGGTTTTGAATTCAAATTCAAAACTTACATGGATAAGGTTCAAAAGGGTCAAAGGTTATGCCACATGGGTGCCCAATTATCTAACAAAGATAAATAATACTTCACAGTACGATTCATAATTTATATAGTGTGTTCTAATTTGAAACATGAATGGACCATTAAAATATATAAATAAAACGATATTCGTAAAGTCTCTCTCTACTCAGCAATGCTTTACCCTGAGCCTGGCCTCCATAGATGTCTTCTCCTCCATAGATGTCTTCGGTTTCAATGGCGATTTTTTTTTCCGTAGAAATTCAATGAGACAAAGATTAGAAAGGGAGAGAAGAGAAGAGAAGAAGAGGGGGAGACAAGAAAAATATAAAAAAATTTTACCTGAATTTACTTTTTAACTGAAGATGCTGCTCTTCTCCAACAGCCTTCATGGCTTCAGTTGTGGAACGCTAAAAACGGAGACATTGGTTGCTGACCTTTTCTTTCTTGCTTTTCTCCCACTGATCTTTGAGCCATAAGATTTGGGGGAAAAGCCTTTCTTCTTCTTGTCTTTCTTTTCTAGCTCTTTCTCTCTTTCTGTTTTCCAAGAAAATGTAGGAAAATTTAGGGAAAATTAAACCAAGAATCAACAACTCTAAACCATCAAATCTGGGTTCAGTTTCAGAGAAAATGTAGGAAAATTACCCTTTCTAAAGCTCCTTCATTTTCCCTACATTTTCTCAGCAAAGATAAATAAGTCCAATTTCTAACAAAGATAAATAATACTTCCAGTACGATTCATAATTTTATAGTTGTGGTTCAAATTTTGAACCAGAATTGGCCCTAAAAATTTATAAGTAAAACGATATTCATAAGTGTTCTCTTTTTAAAATAAAAAATTCATAATAAATTATTATCAATCTATAAAAAATTTTATTAATAATTTTTATTTGAATATTAATCATGTGCATGTATAATTATGGAGCATGGAATTAAAAGGAGAAAAAGAAATTAAACTATGATTTTGAGAGAAAAAAGCAATAAAAAAATTGAAACAGCAAAGTGAGAATTCAAAATGATCCAACAAAAACACAGTATTGAATCACAGCAGGTGCTACTAGTGAGAACTCACAGCAGCATCCCCGAAACCCATTTCGTTATATGTATACATATGCTACGATAAAGTTATAGATATCAAGAGTGGTTATCCAAATAGGTTTTGAATTCAAATAACTTACATGGATAAGGTTCAAAAAGTCAAAGGTCATGCCACATGGTGCCCTTTCTAACAAAATAAATTATACTTCACAGTACGATTCATAATTTTAGATTGTGGTTCTAATTTGAACCTAAATTGGACATAAAATATATAAATAAACGTATTCATAAGTGTTCTCTTTTAAATAAAAAATTCATAAAATTAAATCAACTATAGAAAAAAAAATTAATAATTTTTATTGGAAATTACTCAGTGCGTGTTAATTATGGAGCACGAATTTAAAGGAGAAAAGAATAAAACTATGATTTTGAGAGAAAAATGCATTAAAAATTGAAACAGCAAAGTGACAATTCAAATTGATCCAACAAAATGACACAGTATTCAATCACAGCAGTGTACTTACTCTGAGGAATCACAGCGCAGGACTCCCCAACCCATTTCGTTTATCCTTTACATATGTATCGTACATATAGATATCAAGAGTGGTATCCTAATAGGTTTTGAATTCAAATTCAAGAACTTAATGGATGAGGTCAAAAGGGTCAATAGTCATGCCACATGTGTGCCAATTTTCTAACAAAAGATAAATAATACTTCACAGGTACATTCATAATTTATAGTTGTCGTTCTAATTTGGAACCTTTTGAATTGGACCATTAAAATATATAAATTAAAACGATATTCGTAAGGCTCTCTCTACTGAAGTCATGTTACCCTGAAGCCTTGGACCTCCATAGATGTCTTCTTCTCCATAGATGTCTCTGCTTTCAATGGATCCTTTTTTTCCTCTAGAAACATCAATTGAGACAGATTTAGAAAGAGAAGAAAAAAGGGGGGGAGTGAAGAGAGAAATATTAGAGAAAATTAACTGAAATTTACTTATGTCAACATAAATAACCACCTTAAAAATAAATATACGTACGATCATACAAGGATGCTGTCTCTCCCTGAACACTCATGGATTCTTTTTGTAAACACCAAAAACGGAACAATTATTCCTGATCATTTTCTTTTTACTCTTGCCTCGCTGATCTTTGAGCCATATGATTTTGGGGAAGCTCTTTGTCTTGTTCTTTCTAGAGCCTCCTTCTAATTCGTTTCCAAGAAAATGTAGCAAAATTTTGGGGAGAAACTAAAGCAAGAATCATCAACTCTAAACCATCAGTTTGGTAGTTTCAGAGAAATGTTGGAAAATTACCCTTTCTAAAAGTCTTTACATTTTCCCTACATTACTTCAGCAAAGATAAATAAGCCCAATTTCTAACAAAGATAAATTAATACTTCACAATACGATTCATAATTTTATAGTGTGGTTCAAATTTGAACCTGAATTGACCCTTTAAAATTTATAAATAAAACGATATCTCATAAGTGTTCTCTTTTGCAATAAAAAATTCATAACAAATTATATCAATCTATATAAAAAATTTATAATAATTTTTATTTGAATATTACTCATGTGCGGTATACATATGGGAGCATGGGAATTAAAAGGAGAAAAAGAAATAAAACTATGATTTTAAGAGAAAAAAGCAATTAAAAATTGAAACAGCAAAGTGAGAATTCAAATTGATCCAACAAAAGACACAGTATTGAATCACAGCAGGGTGCTACTGTGAGGAACTCACCGCAGCATCCCCAACCCAATTTCGTATTAATGTAGCATATGCTATCATAGAATAGATATCAAGAGTGGTGTTATCCAAATAGGTTTTGAATTCAAATCAAAACTTACATGGATAAGTTCAAAAGGGTCAAAGTCAATGCCACATGGGTGCCCAATTTTCTAACAAAGATAAAATAATTACTTCACAGTACGATTCATAATTTTAAGAGTTGTGGTTCTAATTGAACCTGAATGGACCATTAAAAATACATAAATAAAAACGATATGTCAATAAGTGCTCTCTCTAACATGCAACATTGCTTTTTACCCTGATCCTGCCTCCATAATGTCTCTCCATAGATGTCTTTCGTTTCAAGTGATCTTTTTTTTTTCCTGTAGAAATTCAATGAGACAAAGATTAAAGAGAAAGAAGAAGAAGAGAAAAGAAAGAAGAAGAAAGAGAGAGAGAGAAATATAGAGAAAATTACTGAATTTACTTTTTCAACTGAAAGATGCTGTCTTCCCCAACAGCCCTCATGGCTTCAGTTGTGAACGCCAAAAATGCGTGACATTGCTTGCTGATCTTTTTCTTTTTTGCTCTTTCTCCACTGATCTTTGAAGCCATGATTTGGGGGAAAACCTTCTTCTTCTTGGTCTTTCTTTTCAGACCATTTTCTCTCTGTATGTTTTCAAGAAAAGATGTAGGAAAATTTAGGGGAAAACTAACAAGGAATACATACTCTAAACCAGCAATCTGGTTCAGTTTAGAGAAAAACGTAGGAAAATTACCATTTAAAGCTCCTCATTTCCCTACATTTTCAGCAAAGATAAATAAGCCAATTTCTAAAAAAGATAAATAATACTTCACAGTACGATTCATAATTTTATAGTTGTTGGTTCAATTTGAACTGAATTGGACCCTAAAATTTATAAATAAAACGATATTCATAAGTGTTCTCTTTAAAATAAAAAATTCAATAATAAATTTATATCAATCTATATAAAAATTTTATAATAATTTTTATTTGAATATTACTCATGCGCATATATATATGGAGCCATGGGAATTAAAAAGAGAAAAAGAAATAAACTATGATTTTGAGAGAAAGCAAAGAAAAAATGAAACAGCAAAGTGAGAATCAAATTGATCCACAAAATGACACAGTATTGAATCACAGCAGGTGCTACTGTGAGGAACTCACATGCAGCATCCCCGAACCCATTTCGTTATAATTAAGCATATGCTATCGATAGATATAGATATCAAAGATTGGGTTATCCAAATAGGTTTTGAATTCAAATTCAAAACTTACATGGATAAGGTTCAAAAGGGTCAAAGGTCATGCCACATGGTGCCCAATTTCTAACAAAGATAAATAATTTTCACAGTACATTCATAATTTTATAGTTGGTTCTCAATTTTGAACCTGAATTTGACCATTAAAATATATAAATAAAACGATATTCGTAAGTGCTCTCTCTACTGCAAGCATGCTTTTACCCTGAGCCTGCCTCCATAGATGTCTTCTTCCCATTGTTCGGTTTCAATGGATCCTTGTTTTTTCCTTAGAAAATTCAATGAGACAAAGATTAAAAGAGAGAAGAAGAAAACGGGGGGAGAGAGGAAATATAGAGAAATTAACTGAATTTACTTCGTCAACTGAAGATGCCTGCTTCTTCTCCAACAGCCTCATGGTTCAGTTTGTAACGCCAAAAACGGAGACATTGGTTCTGATCCTTTTCTTTCTTGCCTCTTTCTCGCTGATCTTTGAGCCATTATGATGTGGGGAAGCCTTTCTTCTTCTTGTCTTTCTTTCTAGCCTTTTCTCTCTTTCTGTTTTCAAGAAAATTGGCAAAATTTTGGGGGGAAAACTAAACCAAGAATCATCAACTCTAAACCATCAAGTTTTGGTTCAGTTTCAGAGAAAATGTAGGAAAAATTACCCTTGTCTAAAGCTCCTTCATTTTCCCTACATTTTCTCAGCAAAGATAAATATAGCCCAATTTCTTAACAAAGATAAATAATACTTCACAGTACGATTTCATAATTTTATAGTTATGGTTCAAATTGAACCTGAATTGGACCATTAAAAATTTATAAATAAAACGATATTCATAAGTGTTCTCTTTTAAATAAAAAATTCATAATCAAATTATATCAATCTATATAAAAATTTATAATAATTTTTATTTGAATATTACTCATGTGCGTGTTAAATATATGGAGCATGGGAATTAAAAGGAGAAAAAAAAATAAACTATGATTTTAGAGAAAAAAGCATATAAAAATTGAAACAGCAAACTGAGAATTCAAAATTGATCCAACAAAACGACACAGTATTGAATCACAGCAGGTGCTACTGTGAGGAACTCACGCAGCATCCCCGAAACCCATTTCGTTATAATGTAGCATATGCAATCGATAGACATAGATATCAAGAGTGTGCTTATCCAATAGGTTTGAATTCAAATTCAAAACTTACATGGATAAGGTTCAAAAGGGTCCAAAGGTCGATGCCACATGGGTGCCCAATTTTCTAACAAAGATAAAATATATTCACAGTACGATTCATAATTCATTAGTGTGGTTCTAAATTTGAACTTGAATTGACCATTAAAATATAGTAAATAAACCGATATCAGTCAAGTGCTGCTCCTACAATGCCGCATGCTTACCTGAGCCCTGGCCTCCATTAGATGTCTCTCTCCCCATAGATGGTATCTTCGTTTCAATGGATCTTCTTTTTTCCTGTAGAAATTCAATGAGACAAAGATTAGAC